GGTGGGGTGGTGGGTCAGGGAGAAGGTTTTGACGACGACAGTAGTGACAGGGTGGTTGGTAAGGTGTGGGTGAGGCGATGAGTGAGATAGTCCAAATAAAGACGGTTGTTCCAATTCTATTGAGAGATCTCATTCCAATTTCTACCAACCAAACGCGTGGTCAAATTCCATTCAGTTCCTTCAAAGTCAAATTCTTTTGATGGATTCCAATTCCATCAAATTTCATCATGTGAACCAAACACCTCCTTAAATTTATGTATTACTTATTTTTATACTTAACATTAATAATTTTAAAAATATAGTTATTTATATTAAAATAAATATAATGTATGATTTAATGTAAATAACAAATACACTTTGATAAAAAATGCAATAGAAATTAATGTTTATAACAACATTATAATGTTCCTATGGAAAGAAATTTGAATTGTAAAACCTTGTTAAACAATAAAATATGGTCTTATTTCTAGTGTTTTCGGGACATGGAACTATAGAAGTAACCATAAAGGTGGTATTTGATTGGTTTGAACTTGACTTCAAATGTCAAAAGTACCAGGACGTCTCATGTTCAAATCCAATGAGAAACAAAAATCTCCTTTTGGTCACGGAGGTTCAAATGCGCTGACTCCGAGCTATCTGCAAAGCAGGTGGTCGTCCTGGGATTAGTCGGCTCGCATAGCGGGTTATATATCTAGATTAATCAAAAAAAAAAAAACTATAGAAGTATGCTTTTTAAATAGCGATTACTAAAGAACTTGTGGTTTTCAATAGATAGTACTAGTGTTGTTCATGAATTATGGAAATAAACAAACGACAAAAATCTTAAAACTATTTTTGTTATTGGACAACTGAAATTAGAAATCAATAAATGTACCAAAATATCTGAAAATATAAACTTAATACAGTCTAAAACACTAAAATTGAACATCTCTGACCTTACATAAAATTGTAATTTAAAAAGAAATCAAAACACGACAAGATTCTGATTGAGGAGACTGACCATCTCTATACATGTCCTTAATCTTGTTGTTTTCAGGCTTAATTACCCTTAAGATGCATACCAGTAGTTAGCTTAAGGATAAATGAGCACACAGTTTATGTATTGAATTATTCATAAGCATATTTCCCATAAAAATTAAGCATCGAAGATGCTAATATACTATTAGCTTTATATTTTATATATCTTTCCGGCATTAGGAAGGTATCAGTCCCATACATTCTAAGACAGTAAAATTTAACTGTGACATAAACTGTATAATGATTGAGCACATAGTTTTGAACATCATTGATGTAAAATTGTGATGCATATTGACATATCGAAACATTTTCACCACATGCAACATAAAGATCTGAACAATACAGACCAACATAACATGTGGGTCAATTTGTCACATCTGAACCAACCGAATACAATATAATTGGATGTACTGATAATATCTAACTCAAGTACTCAATTTTGTACAGAAGTACCCTTGAGAAACATATGTTGGTGATTTTAGTGTCACCGGTTACATTTAGTGTAATGGATTTTATACGTGTGTTTCAAGGGGATTGAACTTTGTTCTAAAACAAGTATGGAGAGTGTGGAGTGCACACTTGTATTAGTCTAAGTCGGTCCCGGTAATATTTAGAGGGCAACGCCCCCTGAACGCAAAACGGGCAGAGCCACTAGCGGGGTGCGGGGCAGCGCACCGGCCCGAAATTATATAAGTATAGGGTTTATAATGAAAAATTCTTGAATTTTCTGTGGCATGATTGTGAATTCTATAACTTGGTAACTCCCGTTTTGAGTTTTGAGATCTAATTTCGGATGATCAGTTTTTTTTGGGCACACACGGAAGATTGAAAATACTCTATATTCTCTCTGGTTTTTGATCTTGATTTCGGCCAAAATCAAGATTGTTGCTTTTACAATTATCCCAATTCGGATTTCATGATACCAGGCATATACGGTCGAAATATCGAATTTGGAAAGTGATTCACACGATTGTAGAAGAAATCCGGTTACGGTTTAACAACATATACTTGAATCTTTGTATCTTCATCATGCCCTGCCTCATATCCCCATCGTCAGGACCCCTTCTTGACACGTATCATAATATGTTTTCATGCATAAAAAAAATCTAAAATTTAATACAATCAGTATATTCGATTACAATATTTATTCGAGTTTTTTAAATTATACTTGTCTCCCATCTAAATTTAGATAGAAGTGTAGGTAACGTTTGATTGGAAGAAAGTGAGATAGATTCCCTTTGACCTAATTATGAAATCTACTGAAAGGGGAAGAGATTCCCCAGGCAATTTTATAAAGACAATAATTATGAAATCTAATTATGAAATCTATATGGTTGTGTTTTCAAGTAAAAATATAAGTCCATTGGAAATATTAAATTGCCTTTGCACAAAGTCATATGTATCTTTTTGTCAATATATGCAGGGATGAACATAAAAATTTTTAGATACAATGGTATCATATAAAACGGTTGTATCTTCTAGAATAAAATGGTTGCGCATTTCACGAACCTAATTTCTTTATCTTATCATGAAGGAACAATACGGTGGCACGTGCCACCTAAAGCCCTTTAGATCCGTCTATGAATATATGGATGAATACAATAGTTTTAATTCTTGTGAAAAATAATTTTGACTAAACTTATTATTCCTAAAATAACAATTTTTATTATTATTAAGTTTTATTAAGAATTAAGGGGCCGTTTACCAAATGTTTATCGGAGTAAGCATCTACCAAGTTACATTATCTTACCTGATGCATATAGTAAGGACAAAGAACTTACCCGGTAAGAGCGAGACAATGACCAAAAGTCTTACCCGGTAAGTGAGAACGATGACTCTTACCACGGTAAACGGTTACCGGGTAAATTATTGCATACGATGTCGTTTTAGTTGACTAAAATCTTACTTGGTAAGTAAATGATACTGTTAAATTCTATCGGTAACCAGTTACCGGCCAAGTGTTTAATAAACGACCATTAAGTAAATATATTGCTAAATAGGTATATTAATCCATTTATTTTAGAAAAAATTTCTTTTAACAACAACTATTTTCTAATCAACATACTTGTTCAGAATATATATATTTTTTAAATATTTTTTAATGATAATAGAATTAATTTAAATAAAATATAATTGGATGTACTGATAATATCTAACTCAA